TTGTTTTACTAAAATCTTGTCTAAAAGGTAGCATTAGGCAAGAAAGGATTTGATGTTCAAGGCAAATTCAACAGCTGGGGAGCATAGAGGCCAGAAAATTTAAAGCAGCAGAAGATGCAACACCATAACTAGTTCAGAAATGGAAGAGCTCACTACTTTAAGTGGGAAGATGTTGGACCTTCTTAATAAAACTGTCATTGCTCTGTCCTCTCTGCTACCAGCTACGGCTTCACAAAAACCTAAATGCAGCCATGACATGAAGACATGCATGCTAATCTGTGTCTGGATAAGGAATGCAACACCACTACCACAGACACTGCAGGGGAACACCCAAAATTATTAGAGCAGTCTACCCATTTATTGTCTCATCTTTAAATATATATAATATCAATCAATAAGGATATACAGATATAAGCCACAACATCAAAACTAAAACATCTTGAGAGAATGGAATTTTGATTCTTCATTATATTCTATTACACAGACTTATTACATTCAACCCCAATGCACTGAAATATCAGGAACAGCTCACAGAAATCTATGGCAGCTTCTGTATCAGTCAGCTGCATGGTTAAAATATCGTGATGAACTTTACAATGGTTATCTTCAAAGGCAACGAACAAAATATTTTTCCCCATCCTAAATAAGGTTAAATTCTTTATGCTTCGTATCTGTCCGTGTCCACTTGACTCTTTTCCCCTATTTAGATTTTTGATATATGTATGATATACATAAATTGCCTCTGTTCAACAAGCATTTGGAGAAAGCTTTGATATATGATTTAATTTTTAGGCTGCCCTCTGCAGAGTCAGAAATTGGACTTGACGACCCTTCCAACTCAGGGGTTTCAATGATTTTTTTGGGAAGAATATATACATATTGTGTAGGAGTAGTCTTGAAAGAGTTCGCACTACCTCATTATTATGGTCTACAGAGAGCTTACAATGAAGTTCTGCATTCAGGGTAATGATGAAATTACTAAATGAAGTAACAGCCAGTGTTTCAAAGCGTCAAGTACTTCATCTTGCATAGAACTGATGGGGAAAGTGGACTAACCATTTTCAACTTTTTCCTAATAATTTTAACTCTGCGAGCTTATTACTGTACTTCTCTGTAACAAAATCAATGACTACCAACCACTCAGTAAATTCAAGAAATAAAATATATTTGTATTTTCAAATTAATATGCATACATCTCATTTTGTAAGCATCTGTCTCAAAACACACTGTTAATCTGAATCCTACCTTATTCTATGATCCCATATCATACTTATTATTTTTGAACACACCAACAGGCAGTAGGGGTGGCAAAGATGATAGTGCACTAGCTATCAAATTACAAAGAGTTTCCTGTTATCCTATAGTAAAATAAAAATAAAGGCACACACCCACCCACACTGCTGTCAGTAAATCAGTCTTTCCCTTGGCATTATCTACAGAACAAAGCATAGCTGCTGGCCAATATTCTCAGGATAGCTTGCATACAATCTAGGGTAAGATTGCTTGTAGCAACAATCACACTGTCCATGAGGAAGTCACTGGACTTTTCTCCTGAAGCACAGTTCCACATTTATAATTTCACAGTAAACCATCTAATCAATCCCACTCCAGAAGGCAGCAATAAGCTTAAATCACCCCTGAAAATGACAACATGAAACATCTGCTACAGTTTGAAAAATGATACAGTGGGGGAAGGAAAAAGAGTTACTCTGGAAGTGAATCAACCAAAAAGTTCATTTAAATATGGGTTGGGGACAAATGTATGCCTGATGAATATGACACATTTCAAGTACATGCATAATAAATCTATGAAGTCAATCATGTGTCATTGTGTCATTTCACTGGAAACCACAGAATTAGTTAATAATTAACTACTTCCTCTGAGAAACAAACAACCAAATCCCACACAGAAATTATTTTGAAGTGAGATCTTAATTTAAAAAAATGTAGGTTGTTCCTGTGTTTCTACATCACAGAACAGACCTGCCTGAAGCTGTGAGTTTATGAATACAGCACTGCTCTGTTTCTCAAATAAACAAAAGACAGTTTCAGCAAATTACAGTTAATATATCACACATGAGCATTTCAAATTCCTGTGAATAATAATGTCTAAAGTAGAAACAGCAGCAGTTTAAAATATACCATTTTCTTAATACAAGCTTCCATACCACAAATACACCTAGTGAAACCAACTCAAATTTAGAAAGCCCAGAAAATACTATACTAACATATGAATTTATAGAAGTTATTAGATCTGCTTGTTTTGACATAAATGAAAAGCTTCAAAAGGGTTGATTAAATAGAGCAAGCAGACAGACTCATGTGCCTGTTCCCACCCCCTTTTTTTTCCTACCAGTAACTAGTCCAATATTAGCTACTTTAGGAATTTATAATCCTGTAAAAAACTGTGATCAAAGACCTTAAGAAACATGTGGCTTTATAGCAGTAGAGAGTCTCTGCTACAAGACAGAATGTGAAGTTTCACCTGCACTTGGTTTCTTTTCCTGTTATAGCTGAACCAGCCAAGTTGGTAACATTGACTAAATGTTACCAACTGACTTGACTAACATTGACTAAAACACCCTAACATAGGCTACCAAAAGAGCCAAGAGAAAGGAACTTCAGGTCCAGTACAACTTACTGTTCCACACAGCTAAACAGCTGCTATGAGATGCACTGCCTTTCTAGCAGGTCAGCTAGGATATGATAAAGTCTTACACACATGAGTTCTCTGTACTTGGACACCACTTTCTTTCCCCAACCCCACCAGATAGATGTATCTGTAAATTGCATGAGGAAACTAGGAAAATTCTGTAATTAAATACTTGCTACTGACAGACTAAAACAAAAAAAAAGAACATGAATTATTTTTTCAAACAGAAGATAAAAGGGATACATTGAGAGACCTGTACTCTAGAGGCAGATTAAAAAAAATACCCCCCAAAAAAAACCTGGAAACTATCAAGTCAGCACACAAGAAAAGAGCCATGAGGTCATCTCCTGACTTTCAAAATATTTGTACTTCTGAAGCAGTTAGAGCACTAAAACAAATATAAATAATAAAAATCCATAACCCAGGAAATTACACCAGAACTGACAGTTCAGCTGATTTCTGGCAGCAGGAAAAAGAAAAAGGAGTAATCTACCCTTGTGCAAAATAGCCTTTTTTCAAGATATATCAAAGCTGATGTATATCAGCTGAGAAGTGTTTGCACTGCAACAACTGCTATCTAATTGTCAGCCAGTCAACTAACAATATTTTCTATAACAAGAGATTAAAACCAACACAAAGGAACCTTCCATGGTTACTACAGCATATGTTTGTTTTGGTTTTAGCACGATATTTGCCGAAAATATTTTTGGATTAATCGGTTGTAGCAGTTGCATACAAAAAAAGGACATAAATATCAATTATTTTACCTTAAAACATATGGGGGAAGCACATGGCCTGGGGCTGTGCATCAACTAGTACCACACAACCTGCTTTTCAGAAGTCTAAAAAAAGATCTACAAGTCTCCTACAAACACAAAAATTCCACTTCCAAACTGCTAACTAAAATTAAAATAACGCAATACTTTTGCAAACTTGGAATCAACCTGAACAGATCTTTTTCAACACTACAGGATTTTTCTGGTCCCCCAGGTCAAAAGATAGTCTTGTTACCGACCCCTCAAAGTAGAAGTTCTTACAACTGAGTGATAGAGTTGAAAAGTGATGTCCTGTTGTTTTTCTGTAAGTTGTATGTGGTTTAGAGGAAAGGGAGCAACAGTGCAGCTGTGGATGCTGTACTTTGTTACTCCATGCCAGCAACAACAACTTTTTTTGTGCAACCAATGTCAGACATTTTAGGCTTAAAACTTTGCTATTGCCAGTGTAAAGAGTTTTGAATTACTTGCACTAGCAGTATGGACCATGTTTATACTTGAATTAGCCTAAAGACCCTTCAACAGTATAGTAACTGCAACAAGGCTTCAAAGAGGAAAATGTACAGCAAAGTAACAGCCAAAATTAGTTCTTGTACTAGAGCACCAAAAAAACCCCACTAACTTTTTCCTAGGTCACTTCCTTATAGTAAAGCTAGTACTTCTAAAACCCATGGAAAGAAAGTAATTCTGGCAACATCTCACGCAGCAGTTTTCTCCACCTCAAGGCTACAAGAGCTAAGACAGACTTTATACCTGCAGTTCATTATTCATGTAACACAACTTTTTCCCCTGTTACAAGAAAAGAATTTGTTTGGGACAAGCTAAATTGGGAGTAGGGAAGAGCTTCAAACCCCAGAAGTAAATTTTCAATCAAGATAATTATTGTTACAATTAGCTCCTTAGCTGCAATGTTTGATGCAAGAGCCTATTAATCCACTCCTATTAGGGCAGCCTAAATTGGCCTGACTGCACATTTATTTTTCCCCAGCATCACAGCCCTCAGAATCAGGATGAATCCTCTTACACACATTGCAAGCATCCATTCAGTGAAGATTAGCATAATATTAAGGCTATCTGAAGTACAGAAATTAGCAGCACTGAATGTTTTACCGTGCAGCCATTCGGCTATGCGCAAGAGGGAATGACCCAGACAGGACATGTGGCACAAATTATCATCATTACAATTTTTTCCACGACTTTAAGAACTCTGGTCAACACCTGCATGCCAACGTGAAAGTCACAATGCACTTCCAGGGCCTATTCTTAAATAAAGCCAGTCTGGCAAGACTGAAGAACCAAAATACCAATCTGCTTTGGCACAAAATTAAGCGGGCACATAATACTCCACCTTCCTTATAAAGCTCAACATTTACAAGGCTAAATATCCAGTTACTTTTTTTTTTTTTTTAATATAAAGGACCTATTTAAAACAGTATTACTCTCTCTGTTCATAACCTAGTACGACAGTCAAGAGATAACAGTCTACTGCTTGTTGCTATTTCCTTTTCCTGTTCTGACTCAAGAGAAGCTGAGAGCATGAATTAAGTCATTCACCGCTGTTCCTATTCACCTACCTGATATAGGGATCCCTCCCAGACCTGTGCTGTGTTGTGGTGGGAGATTCAAGTCCAAGAAATTACTGTTTGAGGTGGGATTTGCTGTGTGGTTCAAGTGCATGATGCTATTGCGTGGGAAGGCCATCCAAGGATAGCGAGCTGCTTGGCCTGGAAAACTGAAGGAGTTGTAAACTGCTCGATGTTGTTGAAACTGTGGAAACCTCTGTGGCATGACTGGAAAGGTGCTACTGAGAGAGTTGGCATTTGTGGGTGCAGCAGGATGCAGGAAACCAGAACCTGGCCCTTTGGCAGTTGTAGTGTGTGGGGTAGGGTTCTGAAGAGATGTGGGCGAAAGGGAAGGTTGGTCTTGGACTGACAGTTCCTTCTCAATCAGGTCTGCTAAGGCTTTGCGGGTGATGTCAAAGGGATCAAACCCTAAGTCGTCCTCTTGCTGTTTGGAGGAACCAAACCCAAAAGCTGCTTGCCAGTCTGTGGAGGAGGATACTGGTATAGTTTCTGTTGGAGAAGAAAGGAACAGGATTTAGAACAAGAATCAGAAATCATTTTTCCATATAAAAACTTCAGCCTGTGTATCTGACCGTGGTCTTTTATCTTCCATATAATACTACTTTATACATTCCCCAAAGACACCTTATTCATCAGCTCCGAATTCCATTTTCGGATCAAACTGTCATAGACTTCTACTAAAGGTGAAGTGCTAGAATAAGTAAATAACATTTATACTGCACAGCTGCACTGTTCTTGAACTATGGAAAAACCTTATCCAGAAAGTACTTTCAGGAATACTCCCAAGGAGAAAGAGACCAATGACCACTTGCTTAGAACCTTCTATACCACATACTACTTCATGGAAGTGTGAATGAGCAATGTTTAAATAAGGCTGTTACTCGGTTCAATATTTTGCTTTCACGATTAATACTGTGCAAAAAAGATAAGCAGGATGTTCCCTCTCAAAAGAAATAACCTCAGAGCAGCAGTTAAAAAAAACCAAAAAACAACCAAAACCAACAAAGACAAAATCCACAAAAAATCCCCTACTGTCTACCATTATGAAGAGAAACAAGCCAAATTCTTGAGAAGACACAGTGATAAAATAAGAAAAGGGAACTGCATTACAAGATATTGTCAAATATTTTGAGGCAGTGTTGCAGAAAAAAGTTATCAGAATCTGTCTTCATTTTCAGTTACTACTTCTTTTCATGATTGTGCTAAGTTTGCTATTCAGGTTCAGTGAATTCTGGTCTATTTTCACATTATTTTTCCTCAAAATTGTGGTCAGGCCACCTGCTAAGTACAGGATGGCATCGCTCGCAACATTAACTCCCTCTGCTGGTAGGGACCTGGTCTGCTGCTGTCAGAAGGTTCAGTATCCTCTCAGAGAAGAAATCAACACTTCTATTTTCACTCTAAAATCCTTGATGATAGAGAGTTGCTAGACCAAGAACTTATCCTTTGCATTCTTATTTAAACCACAACCATACACTTTATATTAACTATGATCTCTACTACCTGGAAATGATCTCTCACTGCTACTTAATCCTAACAAAACTGGTGCATCAAGCGCATTAGCAGAAAGGAATTTCCTTGGTAATAAATATTGTTTACAAACAGAATTATGATATCCAGGAGCAAGATAAACATCAAAAGATGACTAATCACTAAGTAAACCAACTATATAATATTATTTGCATTCAATTTTTTACTGATATTGTTTAATTTAGTTTTCTAACAATTCCCTCAGAGTTATCTGTGAGCTCTTCAATACTGTTAACCATTCCCAAGACATATAATCACAACTAAACATATGTTTCATGCATATGACAAGGTACTGCATAGGAGAGTACCTGAAAAATACAGGCAACTTTCAGCTGATGAAATTAAACATAACTTGTCTGAATTTATAGAATCTCCATGTATTTTCCACCCCTCTCAATAAAAACCTGTAACACTAAATATTAAAGAATACATGTCACATCCTATGCATGTTGCTAAGAAAAACTAAAATAAGCACTCTGATAATTTACAGGTCACTGCAATTCATCTGCAGATAAGTGACAAATTTTAACCATTTGTATGGGGGGAAAACACAGTATGGAACGAGTCCTAGAGTTTTAAGCTCTGTACAACTCTGCACAAGTTTTAAGCAAAAGCAAACAAAACCCAGCCATGTAACCTGTGGAGGTACCTGATGTGAAGAGGCTCTGTGGTTCTGGTGCTGTGGGCCAGTCACTCGAAGTCTGTGGAGAGCTGGGGAATGGAGGAAGCCCACTAGGGATGGGGTTAGGGTGCCGGAAGTTGTCAGAGAAGAGTGACTGTGATTCTGTTACAGCCCCTTCAAAAGGAGACCGTGCACTGTGATTAGATGAACTGATGGGTATAACTGGATTGGATTTTGTTAAACCAGGTGGTGGTGAAGGTGTGTCACTGTTTGTTATCTACAAGCAAGAGATAAAGAGAAAAATTAGGACAAGTTTATATATAAAATATTCTTCACTAACTCAGATGAAAAGTTTCCTCAAAACTCCTGACCACAATTAGGCTTGTTAATATATTGCTCAGCACAAGGTCAAACAAAACAAAACAACTTAGCAACAGCATTTTTAAATTTTGTTTAAAATTTTCACAGAATAAACTAGAGTGGAAAAAGCCCTCTGAAATCATTGAGTCAAACTTATGACTAAACACCACCTTGTCAACTAGATCATGGCACTAAGTGCCACCTGTCTTTTCTTAAACACCTCCAGAGGTGGAGACTCCAACACCTCCTGGGACAGCCCATTCCAATGCCCAATTATGATCACTTCAGAAAATAGCACAACTTGCAGTTGGAGAAGCAAGTAAGTCCTCAAACCCACTTGTTACTTTCAGAGCACTTATCTTTGTGTCTTACCTGCTGAGAGCTGTCACCATTTCCTATACTGAGGGAATCTGAAGGTTTATCGATAGGGCTGCAAAAGTGGGAGGGAAAAAGACAGTAAGAGACTCAAGTATTTAACATGAAAAACCAACATTTGCTTTTGTAGGGGAAGAAAAGCCTTAAAATTAAGACAAAATTTAAAAAGCAGGGATTAAGGAGGACTTTTTTATTATTATTTTTTATTTATTATTTATTTTTATAAGACTGCTTTTTTAATCATAAGCATTCCAATAATTTGTCATATATTGTAATACTTCTTTTCACCACTCTCCATTCTGCTTGTTGACCGCCTTAAGGAACAAAAATAAAGTTTTGAATGTTCATAGCAGCTCTATGCCATAAAAAACCCTAGAAGTCTATACTATGACAGTATTTTGTAATAGTCAGCTCCATCTACGATACTACTGTAAAGAAACTGGAAAAGATCTATTTTCCAAACACACAAGTTTTCAGTTTCCATACAAATCCTAAATAAATCTGGGAGAGATAAATCATTAAATTAATGATTTAGTCTCAGTGGCAAGTTAAGCTTCCCACCAGCCTTTAAGATTAAGGTTTGAGATGACAGAAGGGAAAAAAAAAAATCACAGCATAAAAAACTGCCAAGAATAAGGCTAATATAAGATACAGCAGAAAACCACCTCAGAGAGCCATTCACTGTAAATTGTTGTGATTTGGCTGAAATGGCACATCTCAGGATTCAAGATTCTTATGGGCATCTGTAATGCTAAATACCACACTAATGAAATGGTATTATTGAAGTTCACACTAAAAGCTTTGCTTTGCAACTTCAAGGTACTCTCATTTTCATCTACCCATAAGAAAAGATGCACAAGCATCAGGCTCCACAGGCCAATACACAGATTCTACAAACAAGCATCAGGAGAAAGAACATGAATTTCAGTTCCACTAAGAGGCCACAATGTGATACAAGTCAAATTACAGTAATGACGTTGAAAAATATATGTAACAATTTCTTTTAATTGGGTGCAGACTTCAGATTCTAGATACACCTTGTTTTCAAACAGCCCTTGGTGCTGCAAACTTTAATTACTGCATACAGCCATAGAGTAAAGTCAACTATTCATAAGATTTCTTCCACTTGTAATTTTCCCCCTCACCCCAAAATAACTAATCAAAACCCAGCAGAATTCACCATTCTGAAAGAAACTGTGTAAGAGTAATCAATACCTTTTTTTTGTGAAAAAAGAATACTGATTGAGTCAGTATCTCAAACAGATAAATTAAGCTGAAATACTTATGACTATGAAAGAAAAATCACTGTGTTACTCCAGTGAAAATTTACAAATACTCTCTACTATCCAATAGCATGAATAAAGCTCTTCCATTTGAAACACACTGCTTTTGGTTAGTAATTTCTAAATTCCTATAGCACAGAAGTCTGCTGTAGACTCTTCATTACACAATCAATTCTGATTGAAGAGTTGATATTCCAGTCAAATTCTTTTCCTACAGAGCTAACATTCACCATACTGCAGTTTAAAAAGCTATGAGTAAGACAACTTTTACTGACAATCTAAATGATGAAAATGTCTATTATACTTGAACCTGCCTAAGGAGCCTTTATTTGCAAGAGAGACTTCCAGCCCTCAGGAGTAAGGCTCATTATCTATTGACTACAATATTTTTATTTGCATTAAACACATTCTTTTCAGGAAAAAAGAAGAATTGCACATCACTACCAAGATCCAATTCACAGGCTCTCTGATCACTCCTCAGTGGACAGCTATTCAGCCTAACAAGAAGGTACCACTTCCAACAGCACTCTCCATTTTAATGCATTGGTTCAATATTTATTTAAAATGAAGACTGGTTACCTAATCAGCAGCACCACTGCTCAAAATATTAGGGTTTACCTTGCTTTTTTCCCCATCCAGCTTCTGAATGAGGCTAATGTTCATTACCTAAAGGGGTCCATAAAAACAAACCAGCATGACTACAGACTAAGATTGTGACTGCTAGTGATTCGTAAGGTGGAAGAAGACACCAGTTCTACTCAAGAAGGGCATCAAAAAATAAAAAAATGTTGGCTGGCAATAAGATTATTGTAAACAGATGAATTACTTCCTCTACACAAAGAAGCCTCAGTTTAATCTGCTGCCCTGTTGTCCCTCTGAGTGGTAATTGGGGAGCCCTTTCCTCTGTGTTGTGTTTCTGGAACACATCACTGAAAGGAAATTAGATATTTTAGCCCTAACATTTAACTTCCCTCTACTGAAACTTTTCCAAGTCACAAGCCTCCTGATGTACAGCAAATAGTGTGCTACTTTTGTGGAAGCTTCTGTATAGAAGAAAGGAAAGGCTCAGCTCTGAATGGGTCTGTGCAGCTGTACAAGCTGTTGATCCCCTGGTTATTCTGCTCCCCTCAGCCACTAGTTGTACTGTCACTCACTAACTTCATGTCAGGGTTCTCCTGCAGAGTCTGCCAATCAGTCTTTTTGACACGGGCTACACTAAGCCCAGCTTTTTGTGACCTGATCAGGATTTGTATCCAGCTCTCCAACCAGAGAGACTGAAGAATCATTCCCTCCACACCAATCAGTGAGAGAGAAAGCAAGCTGTCTGAAGTACAAAAGGCAGCACAATTACCCGAAATCTGAGTCTGCACCATCTGGAGTCATGTGTTCTGGGTCTGTGCCATTTTCTAATATAGGAGGCGTTTTCCTGTGTTCCATTGTTAAACCGTTGGCCGATTTACTTGAACTCTGTAATGATGGCCAGGCATCTTTGTTATTACTGTTGGGTCTGGAAAAAGGCAAGAGTAAAATAAAAAAAAAAATAGAGTTCAAGTTATGAAGAAAGTGTTTTAAAAATTGCAAACACTGGGGAAATAAATCTTTGTGCCAGACAATCCATAAGAATAGATTTATCTGGATATTATTTCTCCGATTTTAAAAGGTGATGACATAAAAAAATAAGTGGGATAGGGTAGAGAGAAAACCAGAGGGAATTCTGTTTTCTTTCCTGAATAGATAGCTGCTTTGCCAATCCTAAAGTCCAAACTTGCCTGTTTGAGGAAGAGGAAAAAAATGTAAATAAAAATTAAAAATGCCATCAGTAGTTCAAGTGTCCAGACCTCCGCATTTGTCATTCAGAATTACTTGCTTTAGCCCATAACCTATTTTAAGTTCTGCAAGTCACAAACTAAGTAATACTTTTTTTAATATATGTTTTATATTCCAGGTCCTATCAAGCCTTGCCACAACAGATGAAGTTTTATGTTTTACACCTACAGAGGGGTCCCCAGCTTGACTAACAGACCATGAGACCAGTCAGACACATTGTTTAAGTTACTGCTCCCTTCATTTCTAGTTTAAAGTCATAATTACTTCCCTTTTATAAAGTAATACTAAATTTCAGAGTGCACATTAGAACTGAAAAAAGTTCAAGAGAGGACTCAAAGCCCAAGTTTTTGCTGTAAATAGTTACCTTCTGTACAAATTTAAGCAAAACGAAATATAGTCTATAACCAAACGGATTCAAATACAGCATTGTCTGTCAACCCTGCAATCTTTTTACAGAAGACCTTTTGTGTTCTCAAGTTCTTCCACACCACCTGTAGCTTTTAATTTGCTTCTATGAGGAGCTGGTTTTAGTGTCCAAGTCCTGTCTTCATAAAAAAGCAGCTTTCACCAAAAATAATTTTAACATCTATGTCCATGTCCTTCCTGATGCTCCCCTACGTCACTATATTCCTATTAGATGGTCCAACATTTACCCTACATCTTTAGGTCAATTTACTAATTTTGCAGTAAGAATCTGGAAATTTCAGTAACTTCTTATAGCAACACATATGCTTCCTACTTCTACTCAGATAAAATTAGTAATAGTAGCTCCCCTCAAATCTCAGTATTTTAAGATCTGCTATTCTGTATCCATCTTTTCTCAACTACATATACAATATGTACATAGATTAGTACCTTGACCTGATCTACAGATCTCATCTTGGCTTTGCTCACATTTGAACTAAGTAAGAGCTAATGAGTTGATCAGACACAGAACACCAGGGAATGAAGAGACAGCATCAGCATATCTGTCATTTAATAGTCACATTGTACAAAAATGAACTGACATCTAGATTATCAAAATTGTCAATGCATTTATTTTTAAATATCCAAATGTATGTTCACTATTGTGCAAAGCCATCTCTATACTAAAACTTCCAAATGACAGTTGAAGTCAATCTTGCATCCAAGGAAAAAGGGAAAGAGAAACAAATTGGTGTGTGTTTTGAGGTGGGGGGTTTTGTGTGTGGTTTTTGTTTGGTTTTTTTTCTAGTTTGTTTTTTTGTTTGTTTGTGTTGGGGTTTGTTTGTTTTGTTGGGGGTTTTTTTTGTTTGGTTTTTTTTTTGTTTTAGTTAAGTTCAGGCTGCATGTCTCTGAAGGGCTGTTCTCTAAAAGATCAGTATGTGCCTAAAAACTGGTTCTTCCTGTAGCATAAGAAAACATTAACTTCAGTTCTTCAGAAAAATGTCATCAAGAAAATAAAAAAAAAGCTTGATCTGTTTTAAATGTGGAATATATCTCCAATTTTAAGAGAACACAGTCACCGTGACTATCAGGTAACATAGCAGGAGATGAGTACACAGAGAGGCCCTAAGGGATTTTGACAGTTGTCTTCAGCAGGAAGAAAAGGTCTGCAAGCAGGACCTTTCAAATTAAAACAATTGAAGAAAAACACTTATCAGAGTTTAACAAACTCTTTTCTACTGCTGGATATTTATAATTAAAGTTAATTATAAATTATTTATAATTAGAGCTCAACTTCTGTTCCTTTCTGTTATGAAACAGAAATTTTGCACCCCAGAAACACAAGAACCACTTTGGAATTGCAAGAGGCTGCGACAAACTGCTAGAAATATGAATATCCTATCAATGAATCCTACAAAAACAATCCTACAAGAACCCAATTGGGTAGAAACTGTGAAAGAACAATGTGCATTCACCAGTGCAAAAGCTACACCGAAACATGCCCAAATCCCAGCTGCAGGAAATTCACTTTGCAACTCTAAAGGTGGTACCTAGGCATTAGCAAAGAACAGAGTCTGAGCTGTGATTATGCTGTTCAACTGACAAGAGAAATTACCTCCAGAAATTGCCACTTACTGCCTTTAGTTACATGCCATTTTTTCCTTAAGTGCTAAATGTTAGCACCACAGACTGGCCAAGCTCCAACTCCTAATTGCTTCCTAAAGGCATAAAAGTTTGCTGCAGTTGCAGATAGCGCATTCTTCACCCATTGGTATAATTTATTTTGCTGGGATCTATGCAGATTTCTAATTAAAATTAGTTCTGATTTGAAACATAAAATAATCAATAACCAAGTTCAAGAAATGGTGTATTTGTTTTGCTTGCTGTACTGTACCTTTGAAGTCAATATTGAACAAGTGCCTGAGAAATAAGAAGCAGCTCTGTCCTTAAGAAAAAAGATCCCTCTGGAAGCCCTGACCACTTGCAGTCAAAGTGCATATAAAAAAAAGTGCAAAGGCAGTGAAACTGCCTTCAGAAATTAAAGAAAACAGTCCCAGTATACCAACTGGAATACCAGCTCTCAGAATTGTATTCTGCTCATTCAAGACTCATTGATAGTATTTTAGATACAGTACCCACTGTCTTGTTTACAGGTCTGTGCAGTGATGCTGCCACTGGCAAACTACTGTCTGAAAAATTCAGTAGTGCATGAACTGGCACACAACACAAACCCTGAACACAAGGCCCAGGTTCATATGAAGTACAATCTAACTTTCACATTCCGCTCTGCCCATCTCCTTTATCTAACCCCCTACAAAAAGGAGTGGAAAAAATTGTCAACAGTTTTTATTTCTTTATCTTACATGTGATATTCGAATGAATAATTAAGGACTGGTAACCTCAGACTTTCATTTATATTTGAGTGACTATATACTAATATAGACAGAAATCTTTTCATAACTTACTGAACCAACTGCATCAACAGAACATTATTTTAGCAAGTTATGTCTATATATATATATATATATCTGCAGTTAGAACATAGTAAAAAATATATTACAAATCATAATGTAAAAGACATACTAAGGTTACAAGGTATCTCAGCTACAAAAATACAGACTGCATTCATAATGACACCATACCAAGAAAGTAGACATCTGGTCTTTAACAAATGCATTTGATTTTGCAAATATAAAATACAAGGTCTTCTTTCAGAATACCTTGTTCTGAAGTACTGATCCAAATGCAGAAACATGTTTCTTTCCAAAGATATACACTCTGTTTTACAACAAAGTGGTACATGCGTCCTGGTTCTGGCCAGGACAGGGTTTATTTCTTCAGTAGCCAGGAAGGGGCATGGTTAGGACAATCGATTCCATACCACCTTAAGTAATTTTCTGGGGAAGGGCTCTCTTACGGGTCAGCATGGCCTAGCAGAGGAAGTGGACAGTACTGCTGGGTGCTTCCGTGGGGCAAGCAATCACTTGTGAATCATTGGACTCTTTCTTGTATCCTCTGTCATTTGTATTGTTGCTGTTATTGTTTTCTTATCTCACTGCTGTTTCTAGTAAATTGTTCTAATCTTTCCCTTCTGTGCCTCCAATTCTCTCCTGCCTGGTACAGGAGACGACAGCAAGGGGGAGGAATGTGGAGAAGCTTGAGAGAGAACATTCTAAATTGGAGAATATCACTCCTAAACAACATGTCTCTCCACAAAGGAAACCTATCAGATTTTATCATATAATGGGTACTAAAAACAGGAGGCAATTTTGGGAATGAAATAGGAATAAAAGTTTTCTTTGGAATAACCAAAAGAATAACCAGGCAGTCCAGCATCAGTACTTACGCATCGTACCTCTGCAGTGCTGTCACTTTGTTCTTGTTCTTGTCAACTGTACCCGTAGATAATTGGAGAAAGTTGGGGTTTAGTTTGTATAATTCTTGCAGTAGTTTCTGTTCATATTCCTGGTGCTTACCCGCCTAAGGAAAGAGAAACTCACAATGAATGAATACTGGTATAATATACACATTTATAGTTATAATTTTTAATATATATAGTATGCCCATATATATATCCCAAAGCTTAGTAGTTTAGCCTTTACAACTCATCAGCTCACTCCTGTCAAACTCAAAAAAGTGCTTCTCACTCTCAGCACAGATGTAATCTCAACAGCTCTAAAGCTTGCCTAAAAATCACCTATTTATACTATTTATAAATTTTTGAGACTTCTAAAGCAGAAAAGCACCTACAACCTTTATTATTAGAACTTGCTCCTCACTTCTAATCAAGAGCTTCACAAATATACCACAGAAATCACAAACAGTGACATCTCCAAGGCAGTCTGCATTTCATATTTCAACCATATGAAGCTTTTCAGAAGATGGGAAGGAACAAAAAGTTCCTTTCAAACAAAAATGAAAGTAATTTTATATCGGCTTAATAAAACAGCCGAGGTGTATGACATGACAAGCAGCATATTCTAAGCAATAACGGATAAATAATTCTTTTTAATAACTGAAATACTGAAATATTCTTTCAGCTAATTCAATCAGTTGAGAACAATTTCTTGCTTTCAGGAATGGTGGCAGTCCAATTCAACTTCAGAGTACTAGAATATGGCAAGAGAAGGAAGAGTATTTTTCAGTTTAGCTTGCAGATAACATTCTGTGGCTTAATATAAAAAACAAAACCAGCAAGATCTACTCCTACCCCCAACACTTAAATTAACATCTGAAATTCAAGGTAAGCATTCATGGTTTTTGTAGGTTGTTACAACACTCCAACCTAAGAATTACTACTTCCAAGTTAAGTATTGTTATAGTTGAATTGAGATACAAAATAAACAGTGAATTTAAAGTTGACAATAGCTTTTCTACCGTTTCCAGATACTAGAAGAAGTCCTCTAGCAAAGGAAACAAGTGCCAAGAGTTATGGTCAGGTTTTCTGAATCTTAAGTCTGAAACACCAAAGTTATTATCTATCACATCTTCAGAATTGATTTGGAAGCTCTCACACTATTTGTACACATAAAATCTAACTCCTTTTAATATTAATTAATTCCTTACTATGTTGTTGGAACAAAAATGGAATTAATGCACAGGCAATGCGGACATAGCCCTAGAAAAATTTTACAACCTGTACGAAAATTATCACTTAAAAAAAAAAATTAGCATGAATAGACAAAATACAAAAAAAAAAAAAAAAAAAATAGTACTGTTGATAAACTACTTTTCCTTAGCATATCTCACTGGAATACTTCAGGTCGAACCCTATCAAGGAGCCCATTCTTTTGCAACTTAATTCTCCAGTTCTCCATTACTGATTGATCCTGAATGTGTCCTTATGTAGTCAACTTACACACCTCTCAAGAAGGATTGAAACATCTGGTGTATGCATCACCTCACCCACTTTGTCAGTGTCTACACCCAAGCTGCTACCTATAGTAGGAAAAAGCATGGTTCTACAGTATAGCTCACCTAAATGCAAACCTTGAGATATTCTGCACCCTGGAAATGCTTCTTTCACCATTCACTATGACTGGAGCAATTAGGCTGATGCACAGATTTGCACAATTAAAAATTTGCAAACATTAAGCAGCTGAGTAAGAAGAAACCTCTCTGGATCTCTCAACTTGCTTCAGTGTCTAAACACTGAATACCACAGCCAGGTACATCAGAGCTCAGTCTTAAGTTCATTTACTTGCCACACAAACGCAAGAAAGAAACAAGATTAGAATCCTATATAGAAGCTTGCAGTAATTGTATTTTATTTATAGCAGACAACCCAGAGACCAAACTTGGCATTTCCAACCCACCTAAAATTCCCAACTTCACTTTCCTAGACTTCCTGGAGTTCTATCAATTCTTTTTATTTCGCCACTGTATTTAGGTCTATTAATTATTTAACCTAGAATACAAGTCATCCATTGACAATTTTTTTAAAAAATACAGAATCAAATCTGAAACAATGAACATTCAACCTCATTAAATGGATCTGGAAATTCACTGACACAAATGCAGAACAGCTGGCACACCGAAAGAACAATGTACTTAGCAGGTGTGTAATTTCCAATTACTTTTAAGAAAGCAATATGAAATTCAAAAAAAGTTTAAGCAATGTGACAAGAAACAGGGAAGGAAGATTCATGTAAGTCACCAAGATGATGCAAAATTCACTCGACTTCTGAAGAAACGCACACATGAAAATTAAATCCTGACTAACAGGATAACCTATACATAGCCTACATACCTAACAATTTTAGGTACATAGCCTATCAATTTTAACTGGCAGTCAGGCCAGAGGATTGACAGTTGCCACTGACTTCAACAAAAAGGGCCGCAGAAAAGATTCTGTGAACTACAGGCTGCTAAGTAAACCTCTATCCTTCCGAAGATTACAAGGTAATAATAACAACAATAATTTTGAAAAATGGAAGTTCATGGATAAACACAAGCCAGTGGGATTGAATCTGAATATCTTTGGTAAAGAGAAACCCGCTTCACTAACATTAATTATTCATAGAGTCAGTAAGCATAAACAGAGAGGCCCCGCAAAACTTTAAAAGAAGACGTTTTTGATAAAGTTTCACACCAGTTATTTACTAATCTGCCATGGAAGAGAGTGTGAATTGAAGATGGTTCAAAGTGTAACAGGGTGCAGAAGCAAGCAATGAGGACTGATGACTGGCATCAGTTCTATGCAACACCATCAGCATGCATGAGAAAGGACTTAAAAGCAAATTCTTTGCTAACAATATGAAGCCTTTTGGGTAATAAACTGCCATGTTGATAATGAGGAGCTCCAAGAGAATCCTAGAGAAATCGGTAAATAAGCAAATGGTGGCAAATAAGCTTCACCAAGGACATGTCAGATGCACAGTCTAAACCATAGTAATCCACTCCTGATCTGTGAACTGGCTGCTGCAGCTCAGAAAAAAAGATGCTGAGGTTACTGCCAACAGCCCTTTGAAACTGTTAGTGGATTATGCACTAGCCACAAAAGATGTGCTGGGCATCACTAAGAAGGCCACTTCAAATAAACTAAAACAAAATGTAAAAAGCATGTGTCACCCTACATACAACACACTGAAAACTGATAAACTAAACTTCGTGTCCCCCACATCACGCATATAAGCTCTCCATCTCAAGGAGGACACAGCTAGAAAATAGAGAGAAGTGCAGCAGGCACTGCAGACATGGAGGAACTGCTTTAAAAAGAAGTTTAAAAAACCAGAAACTACAATTTGGAGAGAAAGCTGGGTGAGACTAGATCAAGTTTTGCCATACCACAAAGGCAATGAATAAGGTGAATGAGGGGTTGTGTTTTCAGCAAGCATGACAAAGCTAAGATTAAGGGATGCTTGACAAAACTAGTTCACAGTTTAACGCTGGCCAAAGAAAGCACTTTACAAAACAGCTAATGAATTTCTGGGGCTTGCTGCCACAAAAGACTAAAATATCGACAGGTTCAAAATGGATTAAACAAATTCGTGGCTGACAGATCTATAAAGAACTAAAAAGACTAGATGGGAACATACCCTCAAACATGTATATGTAACAGATTTAGGTGGTGGGAGAAATACAGGAAAACATACAGGGAAGCTAGCCTGGTTTGTCCTTGAATTTCTCCTTCTACTGCAATTATCTGATGAAAACCTCAGAAATAATTTGTGGAAAGTATTAAATAGATATGGACATTCTTCTTTGTTCTTCAGCTTACATCAGCCTAACACAAAAAAACTTCTACTAGAACAACATTTGTGCTGAGAACTAAGGGTGGGGACACTCTGCCTCATGGACAGATCACATGCAAAAATGACAGCATGGAAGCAAGGTTGGCAGACTTGAGTTTAACAGCTTTACCACACCTCATGTGGAAGAAGGATGGAGACAGACCAAAGGACCTCAGAATACACTACATTTGAGACAGTAAAGCCATCCATTTACTTGGTTCCCTACACTAGACAATAAGCATTTTGATGTTGAGATAGCAAAAAAAAATCCCAGCATCGTTTTTTATGTGCTATTATAGTAACCCTCAACATTTTATTTGCAAATGGTTTCTAAACGCTTCACATGCCAGGAGGGTTACTGGGATTCAAACAGCATGGTCAGTCACACCACAAGAGTCAATCCATGAGAACTGTCCACAGACCAATTTTACAATAAAACCCAGATCTGAACTAACTTCGTTCACAGAGATCTATAATGACACTACCTTACTTTAGTAGGAAAAAATGGAAACTAGTTAGCTCAGGTTGTTTAAATTTCTGGCTAAGAGTTTATCTCCATCTTTTTGCCTCATGAACACTCATCAGACTTTTCAGACTTTAAAAAAAGCATGCAATTGAGCTAACTGTTCTTTGCAATATCCAACTGGTTAATCACCTTTTGGATTTCAAAATTCATTGCTGCCATAACATTCAGCAAACACACGACACATATTAGACTAAATCATAGGCAGTAAGACATACGTGGCACATTTCATTTGTTTCCCAGTCACACTTACCTGCATTTCTTCTTTTGTGAAACTGGCTGCTTCATCACCTAGCTCATGTAGATACATGCAGTCTGGTTTTGGACACTGCATATTTTTTAGAAAATAACTGCAATATTTTGTTGTACCTAATGATGCCTGAAGGAAAAAAAAAAGTACTGGAGGTTAAGAATGCCTTTAACCATATAAGATAAAGTTATATCTAAAAAAAATTACCTCAAGATTTGAAATTCTATCATAATGTATTTTTTATGCAGATGGAATAAAAAGTCCATTTGTAAGAAAAATATATATTGTTGAGGATTAGATAATTAGGACGCATTTTTATTTTCAACTAATTTAAATACAAGCCTAAGTAAGAGCTTCAGTACATATTTGCATCATCATAAGGAGACATGTAGTAGGGACAGGAAATGAATAGTAAGTAGATCTTCTATAGCCACTAATTTGGCCAAATCAGCCTGAACATTTGTTTAATCAAAAAACTTTGATTTCCCAGGGAGCTTTTGAGAAGTGCGGTGTATGGACTACAGAAATGTTCTGTAAAAGCTGACAGTGGGTTTTCTCATTGTACTGTTATGCTACACAACAAAAAAGCCACTATGAGCATGGGGAGGAGGTACATACGTTTTAAGAAGTTATCTGCTAACCCACCAAAACACTGCTGGCTGGATGCTCACTGAACTTCCATTTTGAGATTAATACCAGGAAAAGAAGTCAGAAGCCAATGCACTGGACATTCTTGTCCAGCAACACAAACATACCCATACAAACAAAATTGTATGCTAACCCCTAATATTAATGTTCTAGAACATACATGCAAGAACATAAACATATTACCACCTTAAGTGTTCTGCCGTCTACCACCACATTATTGACGCACTGTATGGCTCTGAGGGCATCTTCTGACCGGATGTAGGTTACATATGCGCTGGCACTTGGACCCTAGGAAAAAACACACACTATTTACTTGTTTTTCTTTCCTTCCCCAGAGAGACCTGATCATTAAGTCACCTTTTTAGATGGTCATTTAATAAACTGGTATATTCAGGGCTTGATGCTTTTAGTAAGAAATTGACAAAAAAGGTAGAAGCCATAAAAACTCGTATGTGATGCATAAAGAACAAAGAAAAGAGGAAATGCATCAGTACGTTGCATTAATGTTCTAAAATTACTTAAAAGACATTTATCCCCAAAATGCAGATTAGTGATTAAATGCCATATTGCTGCTTCTTTAAAGTTTCTCATCCCGTCTCCCAATTTTTAATCTTCCTACATTGCATTTTGCATCCAACTTTGACAGTTTGGTGGGAAAATACCTTCGTAACTTAATAGGAATTTGATTCTTACAAGGCCTTTTTTTCTTTTCACACGCTTACCTACTGCTTAATCAGAAAGAGGGAGGCCTAGGATCACTCTGCACACAGGTGTTCTCTAAAGGAACTAAAATAAACAAATTACAAAAGACCTCTGACCTACCTGTGAGCCTGCATATGATGTGCTGTTATTAATGACAACTTTATGTATTTTACCAAACTTCCCAAAATATTCTGGTCGTTTCAAAACCTACAAGAAAAGAAAGATCAAGTGGTAAACTTGTAATTCATTCAGAGGTGTACTTATTCTTCTGTGAAACTGTGCAGCTAAAACCTTTAACTAATAAAAACCAGGTCTCTCCTAAAACAAGAGCACAAAGATTTAGATTTGTTTTCCCACATAAAAACATGGTTACTTGCAATACAAAATACATTGTCACGGCAGAACTTTAATGACAAATATCCCACATTTCATGTTGTATTTTAAAAAATTATTTCAGTACTCTGATTACCCAAAACCCACCCTGGCAAAAGATATCCCATTCAGCATAAGAAGTTCCTGCATATACCTGTTTTATAATTTGATTTAAAAAATAAAAATCACATTCTTGCTTCCAAATAACCATACACCTTAAACTTGCATTCAGCTATATTAATTACTGGGTATAAAATGCTGAATCCTGACTGCCATACCCCACGCTCCAAAGAAGAAGGGAGTAAACCAATTAGCTCCCTTAAACCAAGATAACCAAGTTTTCCAAAGACCAGACTAAGTAAATGAAGACAATAAAGGAAAATTTCCAGGGACAAGAAAAAACATTTCAGAATCAATATCACGTTGAAATGAATGAGTGATTATCATGTTCATAAAGGCAAAAAAAAACCTCATCTTGCCCTTCCAGGAATCAGTTAGTTCTAACACCCCATTTAGGGACCCTGTGCAAATCAAGAACATCACCAACATATTAAGCAACTCTGCTGCATAACCATTACCTGTGTGCCAATGAAACTGGCAACATATTTGACACATTTACACCAAAAGCCTTTTTTCCCATTTCTGTGATGGAAGAAGATACTAAAGTACTGACTACTCAGACTGAAGCTAGACAAAGTAAGGGCATTTCTAGCTCTACATAATAACCTGAGAGGTTATAAAGGAAGATTTGTTTCCTCTGCTCCATGTTCATATTAGCACTGGATAGTGCAGGTGAACTGTACTGATCCAAGAACTAAACTACCCCTCTCCCTTCCCAAGTCAGCATCAATGCCTTCAAGAACCAACAGCATCACACTGAGAACATCCCAAAGAACTTCAGGTATGTTGTATAGACAACCAGTCATTCACTGATCTCTTCTGACTGCTCTTCATTTGGTCTACACCCTCTTGAAACATACTACACCCACCCTGAAGGCATCATTCCAGAAGAGAATGACAATCCTAAAGAAACTTCCCTTTTACCTAAGCACATTGCAGATTATACTCCTGGTACAATACAACAGCATAGCCTTCACAATTCTCCTAAGAGCATGTCAACACAAGAGGATGCACCTCTATTCCATTATGATCCACAGACCTACTTCCAGAAACATCACATAGCAGCCAAGCTCCCATTCCAAATAATCTCAATTTATGAAGGAGTTTTTTGCCTGTTGAAGTAGAAAACTTGAATACAGTGTCTATTTTTTTTAGCTCATCTCTCTCAGGCTAGATTTCTTGAAGATCACATCACCTTGTGCTATATGCAACATTCAGTAAGTACACACTATTTTCTGGTATGTCATTGAGAATACTTCTACCAATACACCTAGTACAGCACATCCCCACTCCCCAAATAAATCCATTCCTAGTTACTTCAAGTATTCAGTGTAAAACTATCTGAGATGTAAAAAACAAAAGAAATCAACTGTATTTACAACTATTTCTCTTAAATACAAATCCTCCATCTGGTCAAAGAAATTGCATTTCAATAATAAATTCATATTGCATTTTTCAATGATAAATAGCCTCAAGCCAGTGGTGACAGCTTGCAAATACCTGCTGCTATATTTCAGTACTTACTGAAGTGTTACATGCCAGATCAGTTTTAACTTGATTTTTTCCTCTTCCCTTCTTATCCTTCCTTTATTTCTCCTTCACTAAAAACAGCTTTCTACACTTGTTCTTTACCAGTCTAGCAAAATACAGACCATACTTTGAGACCTCAGAAACAGACATTTCTGCTTGAGATTTCTCCAGATAATGTAGTCTGATAAACTGAAATCAATCTGGCACTGTAATTTTGAAAACATCTAGGTTACCCTGTAGTACATTTCCTCCATATTCTAATTCAAGATACCTTTTATGCATTAGCACTTATTCCACTGGCCACCTGCACCTATGACTGATGATGGAAGTAAATAAAGTGTTTAAAATATAATAAGTTTTCTCAAATGAAAACCTTATTTTTGATGATGCAGAGTAGTAGGCCAACTTCTTCTGGGGTCTTCCTCTTACTAACTTTTTCCCCACAACTTCTTAAGGACATAATTCTTATGGTTCTTCCTAGTATATACTTTCAAGTGTTGGCTTTTTTCTTCTGTCCCTACAGGTTTGTGTGATACTGTATATCAGTTTCTTGGTAATCCAACCAAGTTCCCATTGTCGAATTGGTGATTCACAACATAGCTGTATAGTGTCAGCAGATCCAACCTAGGAAAATGAGTACCTGACAAGTCCTTATGCTTATTTTTACCTTAAAACCAAGCTCCCATTATTAAACATAGAACAACTTCCCCCTCCCACCCAAAAAAAAAAAAACCAAAAAACCGCAGAGCACCTGTACTCCCTAGAACAAACACTTATTATGGAGCAGGAAGCTAAGTTCCCTTAAGAAGTGGGGGTGTCAGAGCAGTGAACCTTTTCAACAGTTTCATTTGGTATCCTTCAGGGAAACACAAGGGTATTCCAGTGTTTCATGGCAGCAAATTAAGAGCAAGATCTGCAAGTGTGACCTGCTCACCTCTGGATCTGCTAGTCGCTGAGACAGCCCTACCACGAAGACAAGGTTCTTCTGTACAACCCGTACACTGGCCAAATGTTTGCGATTCTCTGATATCTTCTGTTTCCTCTCATTTTGTTTCTGTTTCTTTTCATTTTTTATCCTCTGCAGCTCTTCCTGGGAGAGTGGTTTGTACACTGCTGGATCTTCTGGATATGGCTAAACATAACAAACAGCATTAAAACCAACCCATGTATGAAACAACACCTTTGAAAACCATTAATCACCATGATTTAATGCAAAAATTTCTTTATTCTACTGATCTGACTGTTATGGCCACCCATATTATAGAGGCATACTCAGTCCTTCAGGAAAGGTAAAAACTTCTGGCATATTTTCATGGAATTCTTCTATTTACAGACATAATATTGATTTGGGCAACAACCAAATTCTAACCCAGCTGCCCAGTCGATTTGGTAACATCACAAGCAGCTACAACATGACAGCCAACACATCCTGTTATAATTTCACTACCAAGAGCTTAGTGTAAGCAGGATGAAAGCATGCACTTTATTTCTGATACAGATCTGGGTACTTAAATGTACTCAAGACACTTAAGCATATTTAAGTATTTCTGAGATACAAAATTAAAATACAAATGTAGTTTCAGTGGTCCACTAAGTTCAAGACAGTAACATCATCATACTACTCAAAGTTTACATGGTTAATTTCGAGTGAAGAGACAGATTTCAATACAATTAATGATAGTATTCTTGCCATGTTTATGTACCAGTTTGAAATTTGGTCTCTCCGTCCCTACAGGCAACTCCTTACAGATAACACTGTATATTTTAATCTCAAAAGTATACAAGAGAAGTAGAAGTATCCTCAGAGTTACATAGAAAGACTGCTCTATTCATGCTATAAAGGCACTATTTTAGCTGGGTCTTGCAGACTACAGTGCACTGTCCTCTGCCCCAGATTACTCCTCAAAGCAGTCCCACATTCCTTACCTGTCCCATTTTTTTTCAGATTGAAAAGTGAGGTTTCACATTGTACACAGAAAAACAAAACATTGTAAGCACAAAAACAAGGACACAGAACATATCTCAAGCAGAAAGAAGAGTTTCTAAACACCAAGAAGTAAAAAATGAGAAGAGTATGGGAGATGTGAATTAAGACAAAGACTTAAGACAAAGAAGCTAGCTCAAGCTCACCACTATGTTAAACTAAGGTCTTTGCTTGTACTACCATAACCAAAGGTTTCAGTGTGCAAGTCCAACAAAAATGAATTGAACTTTTTCCTGACTGTCCTGTGTTAATGACAAGAGTACAAAACTAGTTGTCATACTAAATAACCTGAGAAAAATCTACAGCAGATGAAAATGTTTAGGTTAAAAGCTCATCTTCCTCATAGCTGCATGATGTTACTCAAAGAGCCACCAAGTGCTCAGACCAGATAGTCTTCTGACTACATCCCCAAACAAATCAAAATTCATTCTTCAGTTTAAAGTTCAGCATTGTTATGTTACATGTGAGAGATCTATCTGGAAATATGCTACAGCTGACTTGAGCAGATGGCATCTCACAGTCAAACATCACGTCCTCTGGAACATGTTTTAGTATCACAAAAGAATTCAAATGCCTATGATACTCTAGCAGTAGCCGAAGGTGTCCTTAACATGAAAACACAGTAAGGACTCAAGTTACCCTTGAAGAACAGTCAAAACCATAACAGTTCTCAAAAAGATATTCAGTATTACTCCCATTAGTTACTCATTTAACTCAAGAGTTAACACTGAATACATTATACAGATTTCAGAATGTACCTGATGAACACCAACAACCAACTAGTAAGGACACTTGAGATTTGCAATAGCCAATTATTATCCTGTGTTTTAACACACCTATATATGAGGACTTCTGAGATGCAGAACAATTTTACACTTAAAGTTTCTCAAAATCTGTATTAGTCAATAATATAAACTAAAGAATAAAAATCTTGGTTTTTACAGGAAAGAAAGACTACTCAGGGTAAAAGTGAGTTATCTCAGTTATCAGTGAATTCAGGTAGGAATGGGAAGAAAAGTGCACCAGTGTAACAGATATAGTTCCAAAAATATGGCTTGCCCTACATCAAGTGATGTCCTATCCACAATCCATTCCTTCAAAGGTGAATTCCTACTCCACATCCCATAATATGCAAGGCAAAACCTGCAAGAGTGCTGCTCTCTGGTACCGTGCAAGAAATGCATTCATGGTTTTCAGTAAGTTCAGTAAGGCTCCTGAAGGTCCAAGGAAACTACAGCAAACAGTGTCAAAATTCATCAGCTTCTTTCTTGCCAAGTCCAGCCACATTCAGAGCATATTCTCACGTGAGTAACAAGTCAGACAGGATATTTCTTCTCTGTATAGCTATTTACTGCTGGAGGTCCTGAACATGAATCAGGAAATATCCTGGGTAGTTCAAGCACAACCCTGAACAGAACCTTTATATGTCCAAACAGTAGTTTGTATTTCTACAGGAAAGCATAAAAACTCCTAGTAGGAACACAACTAGACAGCAGCTTCAGAATCAGGGAAAGAGAAATGTCTCCATCTCAGCAGAAAGCTCGAGACTAGCAGAACAGGAACTTCAATCATTAAGTAACAGCAGCAATTGGTGTGCCACCATGGATAACCACACTTGTCTGAGCAACAGAATCTTCTGAAGTTCTCACTAGATACTGTAGAGCTGTATTAAATACATGTTTTGTATGCGCATCACACATATGACATGCTTACAATGCTTCCAAGGAATAGAAATAGTGTGATATCCTGATTTGCAGGACCTATAAATGAATCTGCACACATCTCTTGAATCCCAAGAATAACCCACACACAACTGAGATTTTCCTAGCTATGTATCATGTGTGGCATATTAACAAATTAGGAGATATTGCACATTTAAAGAGTGTGGAAGGCAAGTAAGCACAGCAACATTTCAGAAACTAATTCTAAAAAAAATAGTATTAGAAACCATTTTCCTTTCAAATAAAGGACAAAAATCAGTCCACAGAAAGGGAAATAAATGATTTCATTTTCAGAGTCATTGCTTCCCACAGTGCTGAAGTTCATGAACTTGGATGATGGTTCAACTACAAACAGGTGCATGCACTGCAGACTGCTGGAACAAGTCTCTGAAAGCCAAGCAAGGTGGACTGACAGCTGGTGTACTTCACAGCACCATTTGGCATGTTGTTTATGCTGTCTAACCCTACAAATCAGAAGTAGAGAGAGGACTATACATATCAGCAGCTCTCAGGTCTTGCAACGACTAAAGTGGAAATGCTACTGACAGGCTCACGTCTTATTTTTTTAGAACAATATACTTGCTTAACATACTCTCTCTAATGCCTTAGCTGACAAAGGATTTGAGATCCAAACAAAGTAGCTACCTCTAGTGGTATCATCATTGATGTACTTTCAGATGCAAGACATTAGGAGATATCAACATCACTGATTCACTAAGTTCAGCTGATACCTTTCACTTAAGTTACACCAACACTTTTCAGAAAAAAAACATTGAGGTTCCCCAAACAAGTATGCCATCATGGAATATGACCAAATTTTCTTTACATTAAGTGCAAGGCAGTCCCTACAAGAATGTCACCGAAAGTCTGAATGTCATTGTCTTTTTTAGAGAAGCAAATCTTGGTTTTTCTAATCGGAGATGGCCCTGATGAATTCTCAGTCTTCCTGACTAATTTTGTCTTGTTATTTCAGTTTTGTTTCCTTTCAGACATTTTTCTCCCATTTCCCAATTGTTGAAAGCTGATCTGTGATTTATCAAGCACTTCGCTTTTGTCATTCCCAGGTAGGTCACATTCCTTCCACAGAATGGATGCACCAACATTTCCCACTTGTTGTCTTGCTACCAAGTAGGTCCTGAAACAAGAAATACAAAGGAAGTCAATAAGGTTTACGCACAGCATACAACATTGTACTTACATTTTTAAAAACAGCGATTTCCTATCTATTTCAAAATCTCACTTGTTGCATCAAATGACTCAGTTGTGGGATGAAAAGCATAGGAGGAAACACTGATATGTGGAGACTGTGCATTAAGACTAAGTGTTCCTTTTACACAGAAGCAGTAGGAGAAAGACTAACAAAGCATGTTAATTTCTTGATCATACATCTAGCAGTATGCTATTTCCCTCCATCTCTAACACAAGGGGCTAGATCTCTCACAGGAGAGATAAAGGTCGCTCAGTCAAGGAACTGGAGAAGAAGCCAAAGCGACACCACAGGAACAACTGTCTATCATGTTATATTATTTGGGGGAAGAGCAAAGTACTTAAGAAACATGAACAAGCTAGGCTTTTTTGTTGCTGGATTTAAAAAGTGCAGGAATTGACACTAAGGGCTGAGAGTGGCATGTTGTAATTAAGCAACTGGGACGGTATGTATTATTCATATGCCAAACAGGACCTAGACTGCTGAATTTTACAGAAAGGATAATAGAAATATCCCTGCAAAGAAAAATCACTGGCATTACAATCAGAACCAGCAAGTCTGCTGACCTGCAAACCAGCTTCTGGTTACAGAAATCTGTTCTGAAAACAGCATATTTTCATGCTATTTTATCTAGTTAGCAGCTATTTCATTCACAGTTAAGAAATCAATTAACTGGAAAAAAACAGGAAGCCTTGCTTAGTATCTTACAACTGGCTATGCTGACAATTCTGAAGGGCATCAGGAACCCAAAGCCAGACAGTTCCATTTCTTTTGAAGTAGGTCTTTTTGGAGTCAATGAATTAAATAGAAACAATTTCTTTTCTCTAGAAATAAGACTATTTTCCGTGTCTATTTCAGAAGATTTGAATGAAGTTTAGAAAATTTTTAACATGTATTAACATGTTATTAACATTAGTATTAACTTAGTATTAACTAAGACATACCAGTTTCCAACCAGCATTTAAGTTTAATTCACACTAGCATCTTACTAAAGCAAATGTTTGTGTACTACTATTATTCACAGGAAGAAACTTAAGGCAGACTAAATCAATTGACTGCAACCACATGAACATATTCTGCATATACAGATATTAAGCTATATAACAGTTCAAACATGTAGAAGTACTCTCTCCCAGGCAGAACAACATCTTTTCAGTCAGAAGTGAATTCAAGAAGCTTACGAAGATAATGGTATATATGCAATGGCAATGCACAGTTAAGATCTAATGGCATATGTGCCACCACAGCATTTAGCCAAGCTATTTTATTACAGACTTCTCCAAAATCTCCCCCAAACACTTCAACCAAAACCCCTGGACAGGAACTTGTTCTCTGCTCCTCTCCATGGAGTAGTGCTCAAATTACTGGGTAAGTCCCACTGCATTCAATAACATTGGCATAAAGAGCAAATTTCTAGTATGTAATTGTAAATAACATACTCATCCTTGTTTTCATATATGTTTATCCACAGTCCATTTCACAGTAAGTATCCTGCACTGGTATACTTGTCATAACAATAAGGCATACCTATCAAAACCATTGTACCTACTATGAACTTTCCTGCTAAAACTTTGTTGCTTTGCCATGTTCTGTGCTTCAGCATTTTAAGTGGTCACAATCAATGTACACCATAGTAATTACAAATAGAAAAATGCTCAGATCTTTCCCCAGAAGCCTTACTATACACAGACAGGGACTACTTAGACACACGCAACACAAACACACTTACCTGGTTGTTCCTTTTGTCCAGCACACTTCAAAAGATGGCTTCTTCCCTTGTTTCATGGTGCAACTCTGTAGCTCAAGATCATTTATTCCCAAGATCCTGGAGTGGTCTTTATCTACGCCACAGAAGAAACGTCCCGCTCAGCCAGCCTTCTTCATGCCAACCTCTTACAATCCAGCGATACAGCTCCAAATCCACTCAAGAATATCTTGCAGTCCATGGATGAAGAAAGTACCAACATAATCCTCATCTGTTATGAAAGATGTCTCCTTTCTCTCCAGGAGTGGTCAGTATGATTCACTCCAATCATAGCACTTACTCGAGGTTTCCTCATGAAACAGTTTTTCTGAGCAAATTGTATCCAATCAGGCAAAATATTTGCACATCCAACCATAGGGCAGAGTACTCCACATTAAAGAGTTCAGCGTATTTCGAAGAATTCAGACACCCAAAAACAGTGACTAGCACACTGCTTCTGTGATTCTTCAAATACATTTCACAAACGTGGAATAACAAACAGGTAAAAAGTAGTGCAACAAATCCAGGAAAACGAAGCAACTTCGACAAGGAAATCCCAGAAATCTCATGTTGCATCATAAGAGTAGAAATCATCTTGTACTATGGGAAATTACTATACAGCATATGTCATCTACAGCAGGTATCCCAAGTGGAAAATGATTTGGCTGATGACATGCAGATCTTCCTTGTAGAACGTGGAGCTCAAATACTGCAGCAAATTTGCCGAATTTTTAAACAAACATGTTACTGTGAGAGAGCCTTCAGGCTTGCAGACGTATCCAAATACAGGTGAACAGTAGCAGCTCTAGTGTAGCCAAAGCCCAAAAGAGCAGCAAGAAAATATAACTGGAAGTGCTTATAAAATACTGTGGTAGTGAATAAAGATAGTGAGACCAAGTAAGATTACTTGGGGTCTGAAAAGGAAGCTGTAACATGAGACAGGAAGACAAGAGAGGCATAAACTAGGGATAGGATCATGATTAAATAGTAGGAGAACAAGAAGACATAAGTAGCTGCAACTACAAGAAGAGTAAGGCCAGGCAAGAAAGTTACAGTCAAGGGAACTCATTAAAGGCAAGAAGATACTGAAAAGGAATTTCATTAAACACTGAAGATAAGGAAATAATGAGTTTAAGCAAAACACTAGAAGAAGAAAAAATAATTCAAAGGAAATAACAGGCAACTTAGTGAAGCTGAGGTTTACAGCTGTGGTCAACCAAATCAGCCAGACATCAAGACACAAGGAGATATCAAGGACCACCTTCAAGCATTTGGCAACAAGATCAGAATAGTAGACAAACAGTCTAGATTTTGAAATGCTTCAAAATTTACCAGTGGATACCTTTCCAAAGGTTTTTACACATTTAGTATCCACTAAAATATGGATTAAAAGCTCCAGTGCCACAAACAAAATAAGTAGGTGCTCTATAAACTTGCTTTTCAGTCAGCTCTGTCAGTTTAGCTGAACCTCAGCTCTCAGCAAACCCCTGATGCTGGAATCCTCACTATCCTTCCTGGAAAGACTTTGTTAATGCATTAGCACCCCAACTAAAAGGATTTTTATTTTTAGCAGTTCTCTCAGCATCAGCATGCCTTAGTTCTGATCCACAGCTTCCCCTATCAATCTGGTTCTGAATTTAATAAACCAAGACCAGCTGTTTCATAACAGCTTCAATACATATGCAGACAGAATCTGAAGGATCCAACACCTCACCCTTGATCTAGGCCATGACTAGATGATTGTTTCCCTCAAGGAAAAGGATGTCTTTGGTACCAACACAATACAAAAGCCTTGTGAAATGTGCAAGACAAGGCGCTGTTCCAGGGATTTACCTTTCTGCAAGCAGGACAAAGTCCATTCTCATCAGTGCGAATACGATGCCAACAGAAACGACAGATTTGGTACCCACAGGTGCAAGGGAAGAAATTGATGTCATCAATTTCCAGAGGCTCCATGCAAAGAGGGCATTCCACAGGGTCTTCCTTAGCGTCAGGGCTGCGAGACATCTTTCTATGTTCGCAGAGCAGCAAAAGTTTATAATAACTTAATAGACCAAGAAGGTCAGCACTTGAAGGTCTGCAAGAAGGAAATAAGAAGAAAAAATATTATTAAAACTGTTGACAATATTTCTTTTGTACCTTTTAATAACATTTCCGTTTTTCATCACTTTTCTTCTCCCCACACAAGTTACCTACTAAAACAAGTTTCTGCTAAATCAACCTGATTGTGTTTTTTCCTACTTATGAGCCTCACAAATAATAGGAAAGATGGTACTGGTGATGCACCCTCCCCACCTGGACAGACAAGCACTTTGGCAGTTCACTGGCCTGTTTGGGTTTCAAAATCTAGATTGTAAAGAAATCAGTGTACACCATACATTGCTGTATGCTATGTATGTTAGCCTCCTTTAACTACTGCTTTCTTGAAGTCCTTTACAAATCCAAAGTCAAATCCTTGAATGCGGGACTTAATGTTTACAATCAATTTATTCCTTTGCTCAGAGACTTGGAACAATGAGATTTGCAGTAACATTTAGGCCATCCATTCAGACTTTTGAGTAGGTTACAGAATAAAGAAACATAAACAGGAAAGCTTCTTACTCAGGATTACTTGTTTCTTTTGTCTATCTCACTCTTTTGGTTTACAGATTGACCTGAGTTCAGCCTTAGGGCTACTTCATTAGCCATGATTTTTCAGGTACACATTTTCCTACATGTGTCAAACTTCCATCCAAGTCAGTTATCCTTTTCATCAGCACCCAATTCACAACAAAGCCAAAATACACACAATGTGGTTGAAAAAACCTCAAGCTGTAATTTGGAGTGCAGCCACAAGAAAATATTTCTGAACCTGAATTTTGAAGAAGGTCAATATTCAAGTTACCATTTTCTTAATTAATTTCCTGAATTCAGCCATTTGAGTATGCTTTTATTCTCACTTTAGGGATGCAGCACAGGAAATCTACTTTCAGACTCAAAACAAGACACTTGGAGTCACCACTGAGAAAATTAATTTGTGTGTTTTCTTCTTTCTTCTAAAAGTGCCACTCTGGATACATGAAATCATATTCAATCTCAACAAGCTGTCTCCATCTGCTGCATGAGACATGCATGTAGATGGAGAAGAAATCAAGGGAAACAGACTTTTTAGGTGGACCTTTGGAAGAAAACTGAAAGGAAAAAATGAACAAAAACTAAAAACCCCTTGAAAAATACTGAAAAGACATGATCAGAATTGACAGTTGGATGGTCATACTAGCTCTAACTATACCAGTTCTTTAGAAATAAGTGAACTCTAAAGTTTTTAAAATCCAGAATTCTTTTTGTAATAATGTTTTTCCCAAAGTATCAGAATTATTACTGAACTACACACAATCTGGAGTCCTCCTCTATTCTCCCAAAAAGTTTCCTGTTTCACTTCTAACCAAAAGCTACTGGATTGTGTACTATCCAATATTTCTCCTGGTTTTTATGAGCAAATCCAGAAACCAATTCTCACACACCTCTATCTGAATTGGAGTGATATTTAATTCCGTCCCTGGAAATAAGACGACTGAATGTTGCGAGATCAAACCCTTGCTCACAGATTTCAGCAAGGTCTGATGTTAGCCTCTCATAGCATTGATTTGATACTTTCAACACCCCCATAAAAAGAAAAACCAAACAACATATTTTGATCTTCCTCACCCCATATCATACTTCCTTGCATGAGGTCTATCTTAAAAAGCCCAAGAGGTTCCAGCTCAAGTTGGGACCCCCCACCATACAGGATCAGATCCATCTAGCATCAGTCTACAATACTCATCCCTGTCTGCACACCACTTCAGGGACAGAAATTCCTCTACAAACAGCCAGGAAAGAACCCTGAGGAGGAAAAACCACGCACGCATGCAATCAAAGCACCAGGCAAATACACAGCAGAGAGCACACAGCTTTGCATGGGAATGGCTGCATTGTCACCAGGTTAACCTGCAATCACAGGCTGATACCAAAAGACCGGACTACCTGCAATTCCAACTAGTTTGGTAGGCAGTATATCCTCCAAGCACAAAGTGTACGTCTGGTAAACACTGCCCTAAAGAGGAAAAGGTCCACTGGATGACCACAAAAAAGTAAGGATGAGAGAATAACTATTAGATGCTATAAGTATAACTTCTCTATATAGTATGCACTAGCAATAACACTGTCCTCTTTCTGAGTGTCACAATGACTAAAATCAAAAAGTTAAACTTCGATGATAATACAGCAGCTTTCATTTCATTATCTGTGCTTTCATACATGCTATATTCACAATCATTTTGACAGTCTCAAAATCAGGTTCTGGAAGTTTACCAGTGTTTTCTACAAAGAACACTAGCAGAATCTGACCTGAAGGGAAAAAATTATTCGCTTGAGAGCTTTGTTTTAAAGAACACATCCCCACTGGCTGAAAAATGGGAGGGACTGTTAAAAGGCCCTGAAACATCATTTAAGTGGTTATTAGGCAGGTAACACACACTTTTACAGTAGCCTGCAAAACATTTCGAGTACACTTTTCACACTTGTATAGCAGTAAAATCGTAACAATATGAAAGTGACTTTAAACCAAAGCATGGGATAAACTCAAGAGATTTTGTTCAGTTTGGCTTTGGATTTAACTTTGTCACAGATCTCCCAACAACAGGTCAGTAAGCACCCAGTACATTCCCTTCTACTTCACACTAATTCCACCACATGCTCAACAGCTCTGTGCCTACTGAAACACATTTAAGTAAAACTATACTAGTACTAGTGAAACTGCAGTTAAAAGAGAAATTTCTTCAAAACTTTCACTGCTACAGTAAAATTACTGAACTTACTTAGGAAGTTATTTGGAATCTCCACTAAGAAATGTCATCAGTTCATGTGGAAAAAAGCATGACATATTAGCTAGTGCCTCTGGGATATGCAGATGAGCTCTAACAAAACTGCAACATAATTAACATTTATGAGCTGTTTAAGTTAACACTAAGAGTTCAGCAGCTGCTAGCAATAATATCAATAGCTTGCTTCAGTCAGCAAATGGCCTGTTATTTTACAACAAGGAGTAAGGAGCAGCTGTGTGCTATGTTTCTTGAAACTGAGGAAATATTTATTTACTTGGCCACAGACCATTCAAGCATCCCATTTAGAGATTCTCCACTGAAGTGTGTCTCTATTTTAGAAGGGTTTATATAGCAGGATTTGTGTCTGAAATCCGCATCGGAACAGTGCTTGTTTTTTTTCAAAACTGGAATAACATGCAAAGTAAGGCATCGAAATTGCATTCTGCATATAGTTCATGCACTACCAAGAAACACAGAGTAACTGTGTCAGAGTAACTTAGTCAGCTCTAAGACTATTCCAAACAATTCCAGATTAACAGCATGGGAAAAGTAATGTAGCAATAGCAAAAAACAAAAGTCAGTATTACATGTTCTGCTTGATCCAGAGTATTTTGTCTTTGGGATCAAGTTCAAAGAAATTAAATTAATTGTGTTTCGGGAGAAGAAAAGGAGGAAGATTGTGCACATCTACACATGCTTTATAAGCAGATAGAATTTGCACATACATTTCCAAAACTCCAATGACTGAAGTCAAACATGGCTCCAACAGTTCCACATCCTGTTTACAGGACACTATGCCAAAACATTCACACAGGGATGAAGCAGAAGTTGACAAAGTCCAGCAGCTTGCTTTAGCTGTAGTGATTTTGTAAAAGGTAATACCCAAACTACAGAAATATGAAGATGTGTGCTTTATCCCTTCTAGTGTACCAACTAATAAGCTCTTTTCCAAACACATAAGGAATGGAAAAAATTGAGACATTTTTATTAACTTTAAGTGCTTACTTAGCAGATGACAGCTGTGTCTAATCAGCTTCACCAAACAATTGTTACTCCTGATAAAATCCTCTGGACTTTGCAGTTGAGGAAAGAGTGATCCTACTGTTCCAGGGTACTCACCTAAACACAACTTAACTTCTAATATACCTAGTGATTTCAGCCCATTTAGGATGCAGATGCTTGTTGCCTTGCTCTTTTGCACTTGAGGTGAGCAAGTTTAACTTCCAGCAGTTTATCTTCCTATTTAATTTTAAAAGGGGTCATAAAAAAAGGAGGAGAGGAGGCAGGGGAAAAAAGTGAGCTTACTATGCCTTCTTTTAACTGAACAGTTTGAGACTTGACACACACTCCTCATCTCTCCAAAGCAGACACAAGAACATCTCCATTCGCTAGCAGTTCATTTTAATAAACACATCCCTTAAAGTTTAAGTTCTGCTGCAGGAGGGCAGCTAGCTCCAGGGAATACAGATACATTCTTCTTCTCACACAATGGACTGAATCCAGCCTTGCTACTTGCTTTAAGAAAATACAAGTGTCACAGACAAAAGTTCTCAAAATCTAGTTATGAAAAACCTCAGTAAAGACTCACATCCCAAAAAGTATTTAGAGACTTGAAGGGAAAAAAAAATCCAGACATGCATTAGCTAATGTTTCACTTAAAGTTCAAACATACCTGACACTTGAAGTGAAACAGGTCGGAGTCTATGCACTGAACCTTTAGTAAGGGCTCATTAAACTTATGCAAACAGAAACCCATGCTTTTTTTTCATGGCCTTGTATCTCTTAAAACTCATCAGCCATAAGAAGTCTCAAAACCTCAGTGTATGTAGATGCTTGCCCACATAATGCTACTGGGAAGGCAGCTCCCCCTTCCAAGACCCCTGCTCCCACTCTGCTGAAGGATCACTTCCCTTTCTATGCTTCATCTCCACATACAAGCTGGATATGTATATATACATATATATACATATGTGTTGATTCACATACAAGCTGGAGAGAGAAAGACAAGCCGACTGCAGACAGCAGCAATAATGGGTTATCCCTCCCTTGAATCAGGGGACAATCAGCAGCTCTGTCAGCACAGCACTCTCCTTCTGGCCAGCTTGGGGGCAACATTTAAATTGAGGCACATTTAAGACAACCTGCTTCCATTAGTGATTGCTGGAAGGAAAACAACACTCACCTTCTTCAGACTGCAAGTAAGAAAGGCTATCACTTCACTGCATTGCAGTGA